AGTAGTACAAAAGGAACTGCATAAAATATGTAAGGAATATATCAGAAGATGGTTCATATAAATCTTATTCCCAGACACAATCTTTGGTAGTATTGACTTACAGAATAGCCACAAATTTTTAGGTTATTTATGGAGTTTATAAATAGGATGTTTGACATAAATATTACTATAAATTTGTGCTATTGTTTCTAAAATCTATGAAATTATTAAAAAATTATGGATGGATTATCCATTGTGCTTATGTGACATTAACACATTTAATATAATAAGAAATAGCAAATGTTTATCTAGCTTAAGAATGAAGACTAAAATTTTAAATTTGATTTATATTTATAACATGAAAAGAATTAATTGGATAATTTGGATGCTGAAATGCTGCTTGACATAGAAATGTAGCTCAATTAAAAATGGATTTTGTATATGTCTAAATACTAAGAATTGTTTTTCTAGTTTCGTAGTCTGCTAGAATGGATCAGAATATAAAGGATCAGAAGTTTCTTTTTTAACAATTTATTAAATAGAAGTAGGCAGATTTAGCCCTCAACTTATCAGTTTAGTAATTTTGAAATTAAATCACAGTGTTCCATAGAGTTTTAGAATTATTAGAAACCACAAAAACTAGGTCAACTTAATAGTTTAGTTAAATGACATGCTTTCATATTTTAGGCAAACTAATCTTAGAATCCCAGCTGCTGGAAGCATCTGTTGCAGAGATGTAGACAAAGAGAAGCAATATGTCATCTTAACTGGCTAAAAGAAAGAGAATGCTATGTTAGTCTATTCCTTGGCACAGATTGTTATCAAATCTCCAATATTCCTTTGGGGTTTAATTGTTTACTAACTTTTTAGGATAATAAATACTTAAAGCATTCCATTATTTAATAAATAAAATTCAGCAAATAATGGGCTTTTTTTGTAAACATTCATTTTAGTTTCAATCTTTACCATATTGTCAAGATAATTATTATCCAGACTCAAATATCTTCAATCTTGTCAACAAAACAAGTTGAAAAGAGAAACAACAGCTTCAAACTGATTTCAAGTGAACCGGATTCTCTTTTTTGACTTCAGAAGAATGCATCTTACCTGCATCAGCATGGTAGGATTAAAGAGTAATCTAATAACATTTATTCACTTCCCAAATACTTATTACAAGAAGCTAAATACAGTTGTTCAAGTTAGGTAATTATTACAGTCACTGTCAGAAATTAAGTAAAACAAACAAAAAATGCTAATGGAGTTACTGTAACCTTATTTGCAAATGTAAGCCAATTTAAGTGATCAGGGAATATCTTCACATAATATCACAGAAACCCAATTAAATTAATTTAAAACACTGAATTACTTCCAGGGTTGACTTGTAATCAGCACTGAAACTTTTCTAACAACTAATTAAGAAAGGCAGTACACAAAGTTATGTTTCTAATTCATTTAATACCACAGTCTCTAAAGGCATTTTCAATTAGCTACATTTTCTTTAGTTTTACTCAATTTATCAAAGTTAGATAAAGCTTGAGACCGATGTTAAATGGTTATGACTCTGGTGAAATATTGTTTCTGTCTTCTTATAAAGGATTTCTATCCCTTGATGAGGCAATGTTTTCAGTAGAAAGTGGTTGCTAAAGAAAATCAATGAAAATCTTATATACCAATCAAACTCGGTTATTGTTTGCAAAAAGTAAAATTATATTAGAAGGAGAGAATTAGAAGTAACTTTTCTGAGTGGGAAAGATTTTTCTTTTAATTATGGTAAAATTAGACAAAGCTTTTATATGCTTTCTAGAAACAATGAGTTCTGAAGGAGACTCAGAAATGACAGGAAAGGAGATGCAGAGAGAAATGCAGCCCTTCTTATTACCCAACCTCTTTTGCCTTTAAAAGAAAACAAGAGACACTGAGATGACACCCTTTCACCACCTGGAGAAAAAAATCAGGAAGACATTTTTCCTGGTGTGATGACTAGCAAAATATTCCCAAGAGAATGATGAATGCTAAACAAACAACCATGCCAGCTAACACTTCAACCTTGTCTGGTTCTTCACAAAGCCTGGAATTATTCTCAAAGTTTTCATGTTACTCATAAGCTCAAGTACATACTTCTTCGGTGCCTATTTGAAACCTTCACCACTCACTTCCTCCTGTCCTGCCCGTCCTTTTCTCTTAGCACATGATTCTACCTTACTGATAAAAGCTGCCATCCAGCCCCACCCACCCTCACATCTTCACATCCTCCCCTGCAGTCTCAGGAGAAGGGCACACTCCCACCAGGACTTGATCTTCTACCTGGGCCCTAGCATTGACTTTCTTCCTTCTCTTGTAAGGGCCTTGCTCTATCAATTATCACCTCAGTGCCTCTCACATGGCCTTTGGAATATAACATGCTGAAATTTCACTCACTTTAAAACAAAACATGTAAATAATAATAATCATAGGCACACACACAACAACAACAACTACTACTACTACTACTACTGTATATGTCAGCTATTATGTCCCATCTAAAAGGCCACCCATTCTCGTTCTTGAATGGTTAACTCATACTCACATTTAAATCTCCAGAAGGACTTCGGGAAACACCACCATGGTTACTACATTCTTGCTATATCCCACGTACATCTCTAAGGCTGCACAGTGATTGCCCTCTGTCTTTCTACAGCCCTGAATACGCTATGGAATAACTGAGGCCTTAGGTTGTTCACCTGTACCCCCAGCATGTGGCATAGTGAACCAGGCAGAAGAGGTACTCAGTCACACTGACTGAAGGGAACCATTTTCTGTAAACCTTCTCAACTAGTGATACAGTCCTCACTTTCTTCTTTCCTTGCCCAGCATAAGACAGTTATGGACTTAAAATTTTGAGTTGAAGTCATAGTAACAAAGCTGTCTTCTACCATGTCTCTTTCTAAGCTTTGTTGCAAAATGTCGTAACTAATTGTCAACATATGTTTATCTGTCACTAGACTCTGTGCTCCAAGAACTAAGGACCTAACATTACTTAACCTTCCCATTTGAAATACTAAATAAAAGGTTTCAAAAATTATCTAAAGAAAAGGAAATAAGGAAGGAAGGAGAGGAAATTTTGAACAGGGAGAGGGGATCAAGGTGAGTGGGAGGGTTTGTAAAACACAGTGAGGTAAAATGATGAAAAAAAAAATTCCAAAATTCTCAATTGATTTAATATAAAATAGCAATTATTTGTCAAAAGATTAAGAATGTATGTTTAATTAAATAAAATATACCTTCTTTTCTACATACACTCAAACTTTAAAATTCACAATCCACATTGTGTGACATATCTAACTTCCCCACTTATCTTAAGGGATAGTTTTAATCTTCATAATAAGATTACATACTTCATGTTACTTTAAAAACATGTAACGGCCGGGCGCGGTGGCTCAAGCCTGTAATCCCAGCACTTTGGGAGGCCGAGGCAGGTGGATCACGAGGTCGACAGATCGAGACCATCCTGGTCAACATGGTGAAACCCCGTCTCTACTAAAAATACAAAAAATTATCTGGGCATGGTGGCGTGTGCCTGTAATCCCAGCTACTCAGGAGGCTGAGGCAGGAGAATTGCTTGAACCCAGGAGGCAGAGGTTGCGGTGAGCCGAGATCGCACCATTGCACTCCAGCCTGGGTAACAAGAGTGAAACTTCGTCTCAAAAAACAAACAAACAAACAAACAAACAAAAAAACATGTAACAACAATACTAAAGTAATATCATGCATTTGCCTAGACCTTTTCAGGAAATGGAGCATCAAAACATAGGTGAATCATTGATTTCATGACCACCCTAAGAGCTAACAGAACACGTGCTGTTATTTTGATTTTACAGCTGAGAAAACAGAACTTCAGAGAGGTTAAGAGGTGTGCACACTTGGAATTCTGAAAAAAATTGAAGAAGGTGAAGGTAAAAGGGAGAAAGAAATATCAGATTTGCTCTTCGAAAATGCTTCATTAGGAGAAATGCAATTTTAATCAGCAATGACAAACTTACTCAGCATTTATCTCTTGGAGTCCAGCTCTGACCTTTATGTGATAGAAATTTTACCAAAAGAAAAAGAAGGAATCATCTCACAGCCCTTCAGATAACATTTTTTTGTTTGTTTGTTTTTGAGAGGTCTGTGCCTTTCAAGTAATTTACTCCCCAAACAATCTTAAATTCCAGGGTGGCAAGAAAAGTAATTGTTAACTGAAAGCTTAACATCTAATACAGCTAACACACATTTTTTTTTTTGACATATGACACAGTAATAGATTTCCCTTTGTATGTGTGTGTAACGTACATATACTTTGGAGAGTTCTTGGATAATTTGTAAGTATCGATTCAGTAATAACACCGTGCTCCTCTGCCGCAAGGTGCCTTCATGTTTATCTCATCCTATTCGGCCCAACTAGAATTTCTCTCACCATATTTACTTCCTTTGTTTATTCATCTTTCCCAGCTATTTTTTTTTTTCATATCCTTTTATGGGGCCATTCTTCTGTAAGTTTTAATACCTAGAGCAGCATCTTATATTTTATTATAGAATCTTGAGCAAGAGGGATTTGCAAGATATCTATGTCTATTGTCATTTAAATGTGAATACTTTTAAAAAGTTCTTCCAGAACCAAAACATTGGAGTACGACAATGAAAATACTTGTTGCATTCAAGCAGTAGTAACATGGTGGATTTTTCATTCTTTCTCTAAAAAGTAACTTTCATGTTTTACATAGTTTGGCAATAAATAAGGAAACATAGAGTCCTGTAACTGTGGCATCTTTGCTTTGATGACTGATTCTCAGTTAAAAATATAATTTAGTGGCTAGCAAATACATTTTATCAGGAATTTAACTTCCAAATATTATTTGCCCCTAGGGAAAAATGTGATCTATTTACCACAATCTGTGTTATGATTTTTTTCCATTTTTTAAAATGAAAAGCAGAGATGTCTGATCATTCTTACCTTATTTTTCATGGCTAAACATTGAGAGGCAAGCAATGTGCAAGACACTTACCCACTCTTCCTCATCGTAGTCTGAATGATGTGGTATGGAGTCCTGTCTTCTCATCAGTGGGGGCTGGTCCTGGGGACTGCTCTCCTCTGTGCTGCTCTTAGGAGAGGGTGGCTTTTTAAGAATACCTCCTGGCCTTGCAGTGTAGAGGGCTAAAAGAGCACTCCTGACGAGTTGATCCTTGAAGGCATGTACAAAGAGCTCTGTCTGCAAAGAAATTGACAAGGTCGTCTCAGTACACAACTGTGAAAAGGTCAATTGAAGATCTGTTGGCACTTAAAGTGGTGTGTATGGTGGAAAAAGTAGACACCAAAGAGAGAAAATGATTCATACCAATCAATGGAAAATAGTTTGGTTTTGGGATGTGGCCAAGGCCTAAAGTCCTCCTGTTTTAAAGTTAATGCTGAGGTTTTAAATGCACTATAAACACCATCTCTCTCCTCAACTTTCTCCCTTTTAGTTTCACAAATCCTGTCTTTGGAGATGAATTTCACTGGGGATAATCATTTGAACAACATCTACCTGCTGCAGCTTTCAAGTCATTCCAAACACACCTTAAAAGAAAATGTAATCAGACTGTATATATTTTATTAAAACTGCAATTACTTTTTCACCAACCTAATATATTTTAAATAAAGACTAAAGAAAGACATATGTCTTTAAAGAAAGGAGATTTTTTTGTTTGTTTTAGTATCATAAACAGATCTTAACAGTAGAAATGGCATAGGCAGTCTTGTTCATGAAAACATCAGGCCTGTATTCCTTATTATTACCTCCTAACTGCTTTCTTCCACTAAACTGTTTCAGTAATGCTTAATGTTAATGAGGTTACTGTGAAACTTGGCATACAGATTTTACAAGCTGGTGGCAAATACCTAGTAAGTGATATAGCAATAAAGCCTTCCCAACAATAAATAACTTTACAGCTGTACTTTGCAATTTCCTGATGAACTTTTTAATAGTGTCACCCTGTAATAGACTGAAGGGTACAGTAATTAGTATACTTAGCATGCATGTGACCTAAAAATATGTTCAAAGATTAGAGATGTAAGTCAAGCAATGGCCCATATTGTTAACATATTCATACCTGTACTATGCAATCTCTTAGGAAGGAACCTTTTAACTTGTAGCCTTGTACTGAATAATAATTGATATTGTCACCATTTAATGAGACACTCTTGACGATACTGGCTTCACCACTGATATAACTCACCATCGTCATTTCTTGGTGCACTCTGAATATGCAATCAACAGTTCTACGCCTAACTAGTTTAAATTATCTCTAAATTTTATTGTCAACATCAGCAACTAAAGAAAACCAGTTCAGCCCCATGTAAAACAAGTGCCCAATAAGACTTTGTTAAATCTGCATAGTTATTTATTTGTCATAAATCATAAAGTTCTAGAGGTGAAAGGAATATTATAGTTGATGTCTTCATTAACTAAGATAAGAAAATTAAGAAAGAAGTGTGGTGATATGTTTTAGGAAATACTGCCTATAGGTAGCACAAATGGAACAGGATGAAGTATTCTAACAAATCAGCAGCTTTCTCCCTGATTCCACACTACTCACCTCTGTCATAAAACTAGATGTTTCTGCTGTAGAGGGACCTGTTAGAAGGAAAACTAAAAAACAAAAAGAAATAGCTTCAACATCAACAAAAAGGACGTCCACTCAGAGACACCATTCAAAATCAGCAACTTCAAGGATAAAAGGTAGATAAATCCACAAAGATGGGGTGGGGGGTGAAACAGTGCAAAAAGGATGAAATCATCAAAGACCAGAATGTCTCTTCTCCTCCAAGGGGTCACAACTCCTCACCAGCAAGGGAACAAAACAGGATGGAGAATGACTTTAACAAATTGACAGAGGCAGGCTTCAAAAGGTGAGTAACAACAAATTTCTCTGAGCTAAAGGAACATGTTCTAACCCAATGCAAAGAAACCAAATACCTTGAAAAAAGGTTAGACAAAATACTAACTAGAATAACCAGCTTAGAGAAAAACATAACGACCTGATGGAGCTGAAAAACACAGCACAAGAACTTCACGAAGCATAAACAAGTTTCAATAGCTGAATTGATCAAGCAGAAGAAAGGATATCAGAGATTGAAGATGAATTCAGTGAAATAAAATGAGAAGGCAAGATTAGAGAAAAAAGAGTGAAAAGAAATGAACAAAACCTCCAAAGAATATGGGATTATGTGAAAAGACCTAATCTATGCTTGATAGGTGTAACTGAATGTGACAAGGAGAATTAATCCAATCTGGAAAACATTATTTAGGATATTAACCAGGAGAACTTCCCCAACCTGGCAAGGCAGGCCAACATTCAAATTCAGGAAATACAGAGAACACCACAAAGATATTCCTCAAGAATAGCAACCCTAAGGCACATAATTGTCAGATTCACCAGGGTTGAAATGAAGGAAAAAATGCTAAGGACAGCCAGAGATAAAGGCTGGGTTACCCACAAAGGGAAGCCCATCAGACTCACAGGGGATCTCTCAGCATAAACTCTAAGCCAGAAGAGGGTGGGGGCCAATATTCAACATCCATAAAGAACTTTCAATCCAGAATCTCATATCCAGCCAAACTAAATTTCCTAAGTGAAGGAGAAATAAGATTCTTTATGGACAAGTAATTGCTGAATTGTCACCACCAGATATGCCTTATAAAAGCTCCTGAAGAAAACACTAAACATGGAAAGGAACAACCAGTACCAGCCATTGCAAAAATGTACCAAATGGTAAAGACCAACAATGCAATGAAGACACTGTATCAACTAATGGGCAAAACAACCAGCCAGTAACAAAATGGCGGGATCAAACTCACACATAACAATATTAACATTAAATGTAAACAGCCTAAATGCCCTAATCAAAAGACACAGACTTGCAAACTGGATAAAAAGTCAAGACCTATCAGTGTGCTGTATTCAGGACACCCATCTCAAGTGCAAAGACACACATAGGCTCAAAATAAGGGGATGGAAGAATATTTACCAAGCAAATGAAGACCAAATAAATAAATAAATAAATAAATAAATAAATAAAAAGCAGGGGTTTCAATCCTAGTCTCTGATAAAACGGACTTTAAACCAGCAAACATCAAAAGAGTCAAAGAAGGGCATTACATAATAGTAAAATAATCAATCCAACAAGAAAAGCTAACTATCCTAAATACAAATGTACCCAATACAAGAGCACCCAGAGACATAAACCAAGTTCTTACGACTTACAAAGAGACTTAGACTCCGATACAATAACAGTGGGAGACTTTAACATTCCACTGTCAATATTAGACAGATCAACAAGACAGAAAACCAATGAGGATATCCAGGACTTGAACACAGATTTGAATCAAGTGGACCTAACAATCTACAGAACTCTCCACCTCAAATGCACAGAATATACTTTCTTCTCAGCATCACATTGCACTTAATCTAAACTTGACCACATAATTGGAAGTAAATCCCTCCTTAGCAAATGCAAAAGAATGGAAATCATAACAAACAGTCTTTCAGACCACAGTGCAATCCAATTACAACTCGGGATTAAGAAACTCACTCAAAACCACACAAATACATTGAAACTGAACAACTTGCTCCTGAATGATGACTGGATAAAAAAATGAAATGAAGGTAGAAATAAAGATGTTCTTTGAATGAGAATGAAGAAACAACATACCAGAATCCCTGGACACATTTAAAGCAGTATCTAGAGGAAGATTTATAGCAATAAATGCCCACATAAGAAATGAGGAAAGATCTAAAATTGAAACCCTATCATCAAAATTGAAAGAGCCAGAGGAGCAAGATAAAAAAAAAAAAAAAAAAAAAAAAAAAAAAAAAAAAAAAAAAACTCAAAAGCTAGCAGAAGACAAGAAATAACTAGGATCAGAGCAGAACTGAAGGAGATAGAGACACACACACAAACCCTAAAAAAATTCATACATCCAAGAGCTGGTTTTTTGAAAAGATCAAAAAAATAGACCGCTAGCTAGACTAATAATAGAGACAAGAGAGAAGAATAAAAAAGGTGCAATAAAAAATGATAAAGGGGATATCACCACTGATTCCAAAGAAATACAAACTACCATCAGAGATTACTACAAACAACTTAATGCACATAAACCAGTAAACCTGGAAGAAATGGATACATTCCTGAACACTTGCACCCTCAAAGACTAAACCAGGAAGAAGCTGAAACCCTGAATAGACCAATAACAAGTGCTGAAGTTGAGGCAGCAATTGATGGCCAGCCAACAAAAACAAAGTCCAAAGTTGGGTTCACAGTTGAATTCTACCAGATGTACAAAGAGGAGCTGGTACCATTCCTACTGGAACTATTACAAACAATACCAAAAAAAGGGAATCCTCTGTAACTCATTTTATGAGACCAATGTCATGCTGATAACAAAACCTGGCAGAAACACAGCTAGAAAAGTTCAGGCCAATATCCATGATGAACATCAATGCAAAAATCTTCAATAAAATACTGGCAAACCACATGCAACAGCACATCAAAAAGCTTATCCATCACAATCAAGTAGGCGTCATCTCGAGGATGCATGGCTGGTTCAACATATGCAAATCTATAAACATAATCCATCACATAAACAGAACCAATGACAGAAACCATATGATTATCTCAATAGATCCAGAGAAGACCTTGGACAAAATTCAACAGAGCTTTATGCTAAAAACTCTCAATAAAGTAGGTGTCATTGGAACATATCTCAAAATAAAAAGCTATTTATGACAAACCCACAGCCAGTATCATACTGAATGGGCAAAAACTGGAAGCATTCCCTTTGAAAACTGGCATTAGACAAGGATGCCTCTCTCATCACTCCTATTCAATATAGTATTGGAAGTTCCAGCCAGAGCAGTCAGGCAAGAAAAAGAAATAAAGGGTATTCAACTAGGTAAAGAGGAAGTCAAATTGTCTCTATTGGCAGATGACATGATTGTATATTTAGAAGATATAGACCAATGGAACACAACAGAGGCCTTGGAAGTAACACCACACTTCTACAACCATCTGATCTTTGACAAACCTGACAAAAACAACCAATGGGGAAAGGAGCCATGTTTAATAAATGGTGTTGGGAAAACTGGCTAGTCATGTGCAGGAAGCAGAAAATAATAAAAGCTATTTACTACAAATTGGGACCTATTCCTGATACCTTACACTAAAATTAAC